TTAGTGAGCGTCGAACTTGAAACACTCGGTTCGTTTCTTTGTGTAAGATCTTAGCAAGATCTCAAAGTATTCTGTGGTGCTTTGCCCAAGCGTTATCCGCAACCCAGATTTATTTGTTTCTCCCATTTCCGAGTTGGATTTATGCTCTTTTATTCATAGGCCCAGTTTTTCAGTCGCAGGTTAACTACGACCTTTTCCTTAACTTACAGTTGTCTAAGAAAAAGCATTTTTCAATATCATGTTTATGGTATTCGGTAGACCATCTATGATTTAACTAGAAAGTCCATGGTTAAACAGCACTACCTGATATTTTTTAACACAGAGTTTGGCGTTTATTCAAAAATTCACAAATCTATATCAGTTTATCGATAAATATAAATTAAAGCTGAAACATGTTTACGGAGTAGGACGTGATTGTGTAGCAGAGACGGAGAGGCAAGGAGGCCGTACTACTTTAACAGGACTGCAGAAATAGAACTTTTCGCTTTTCAGGAAACTGAGCCACTTTTTATGGTCTTTATTATTCTTTTGTCTTTACTGACCAATGATCTAGCATCATTTCTTCATCATTTGAGAAACTTTGGGCTGTTGTTGATGTTTTCTTTCTTCATGCTAGGAAACTGTTTTTGAGAAATTTATCAACAGGAATAGCCCTATTTTCTTCTCCGTTGCTGAAGATCTTTATTTTTGGGTCGCGGATTATCGAAGTGATGCTAAAGAAAGTGACAAACACGATTTTTAACATATTTGAACCTATGTAAGGTTGATTAGACATTGCATTTACCACAGCATTCATCACCATTTCTATAGAGTCTAATACTAAGTACAAGGAATGTTTGAAAAACCTTACCATGCCTAACGAAGGTTTAATACATATTTCGACTATTTTAAAAAAGTCATTAAACAAAGACTTGTATAGCACAGCTACTTTCCAGTGTCCCTGTTGAGTTACCCAGAGTAGTTCGGGAGCATGTCACTCTCAACCCAAAATCAACTGGAAAACAGCTATGACGGTACGACACAAGACACTTGCCGAACGCACAAACCGTACAGAACGTGATATCTAAGAAGCAGAAATGCAGGATTGCAACATAAATATGTGATGAACTTCTGGTAAGTTAACTGGCACTGTCAAAATACTTAAAAAACGCATTTGCAGGCAATTGCAAGTTAACCTGGCTATAGTTGACGAACCAAAAAGTTAACTTGTTATTGAAAAATCGCGCCTAACTGAGAGTGATTTTTTGTTTCTCTTATGTATATAATAATTATAATAATAAATCTCTTCTCATCTAGGGCGAAGATCACCTTACAGATATTCTGCCACTTAAACCTTAACAAACAAAAAAAATTAATATATAATTTAATAAATATTACATAAATTGGATTACTCTCCGCATTCACATGATACCTGGGATACACAATCCTTGGTGTTCTGTTTTTTGTTCTTAGGTTTTGTCTTAATGAGGATACTGCGAAGTGTGGGGTTCCTTGAAAAATATAGTTTTGTTTTCGTATCGTCTTCCGATTGTCCTCATAGTATCACTTATTCCCTCAACATATGGTAGAATTAGTGAATGTCGGGGTTCATTCCGGGTATTTTTACTGTTGTTGGTGTTGTTTTGTTTCATAACTTCATTTATCAGTCGTCTTGGGTACCCATTTCTTATTAGATCATCTTCGATAAGGTTGATTTCTTTCAGGAGATTTGTTTTCGTGTTGTTTGGTCAATAAGGTTTCTAATTTCACCTTTCTTCGCGGTTCGCGGATGACTGGAACAGAAATTCAGGCATTGTCCTGAATGTGTTGGTTTTCGGGATAGTAGTTTCTATCCTGGAATTATTCCTTGTGACCATGACATCCAAGAATGGGAGGTTGTTGTTGTTCTCTTCGTCCCTTGTAAGTAAGCTTTATTGATGATCTTATATTGTTTAGGTAATTGAAGAAGGCTTGTAGTGACCCTTCTGCATAGTTCCAGGTTACGAAGCGAAATCGTCAGCTTAATGGCGATTGACTTAAGATAAGACCACTACTGGCGAAAGCGGTGATCCCATCGGCAGACGTTCCTCTTGGATGTAAAAGTCTTTTTTTACTTGAAAGTATTTGTTTAGAGTCAGAGAAATAACATCTCAATCATCCATATTGTCATCAAATTTCAAACAACGGTCGAAGCCAGTTTCAGAAATTGGAAATGAAACCACCGGAAAAATTACTTTGGAAGGCCTAGCTGTTGTTGCTGAATATATAGTTCTAATTTTGCTTTTTTCAGAAACGGTAACTATCCAAATGAGTTGCAAATGTTCACATGATGAGGGTACCAGGTGGGTTGCTATTAGTCTTGGTGAACGTACAGCCAGTATTATTGTAACCTCATCTGCTTTGTATTCAGTTTAATTATTTACCAGAGATGGCCGATATCGTTATTTTTTATCCTTGATTTAAAACGGTGACATGATCATGACATTCGAATAACGATGAGATGTCGGGAGTATCCTGACCAAAATACCACGATGAAATCTCATGGAGCCAACTACCAAAGCCTATAAGCTATAAGCCTACCTTGAAAAGTGACAATATGTTGTTTTTTGACATTATATAGGTTTTTTGTGGCATTATGTAGTTTCTTCTACAAGATGTCAACTTCGCACTAGGTGTTGAACACTTGTTGTACACTCGTACCGCAGCTGTACGTGTTGCCTAAACGTCATACTGCTTCAGCTAACAACGTTTTCACATCAATTTTTATTTCCATTCATTTAAATTTTATTGAGGTGTCCTCAGATTCGTCTCAAAAGCACAATTAAGAATTCACTCTTTTCAAATACTACAGTTGATCTTTTTGTATTCTCTTAAATATGTAGTTGTTACCCTTGTATAATATGAAGAAAAAAACATAATTCACGCCAATGGCATATTTGAAACGACTGTTGCAACTTTGAAGGCATTTAATTTTACATCTTGAGAAATTTTTGTCAGATCATTCATTTAAAAAAAAATTAAATATTTGAATTAAAATCCGAAAAAGAGGCTTAAGTCTTTTCTGAAGGAGCTTATGTTTATAATTCCAAATTTGATGTAATATATCGAGGGAGTAGTATCATCTCACCATCGTTATTTATGAATAATGAAATGGAAAATAAAATGACTGATGTTCATGTTCTGTCCTTTTTACTCGTATGCTATTTTTGGATGAATTTTCGGAAATATGTATATTGGTTTTTTGAACCATTCTGTACAGTACTAATTTGTGCACATAAATGAATACATATGTCAATCCTTTTACACTGACCTCTTTATATCAAATTCAGAAATTTTCAGCACAATGTGTAGAATCTAAGATCAAAGTGCAGTGGCTGGATACACACCTGGTCAGTACATTCTATTCTGGCGATTCTCACACTTCGGGCAAGATTATCTGCTTAAGAGGAGCTATAAGATGTTTCTTTTGTCCAAAAAAAGTAGATAAGAAATCGACGATCAGCTTCTATTCGAAACTTCAACTGCCGTTGATCTTACCTCTTACCCCTTTCTATTTTCTCTTATTCGAGCCGCTGTGCTTACACCACGGGTTCGTCACTCCACGTGATGTTTTCCGGGGGGACATAGCCTATATTGCTACTCTTCTATTCAACCATACATCTTCTCAGAGTATACTCTACAGACTATCTCGTCATTCTGCAACGAACAAAGCATGATGGGGAACTGACTTGCAGCGCAGCATGGTTATTGAGCTTGTCGTGTCGTTGAGTCATTCCTCCATAGATAGACGCTTTTGATGGAGCTCCCAGCGCTCATAGCAAACGCAGAATGTACTGTGTGCACACTAGGAACTATCTAGCTTGCATTTTGTCGATATTTTGACGTTTTATAGGTTTTTTTAGGTAATATCCCTGCCGAAGCTGTGATCAAGTCACCCTTTTTCACAGTATTTGGTATCAGTCGTGATTTGTGAGTTAGAAATATCAGTTACTAAACCGCAGTTCGTAAAATATCTGCAATGTGATAATACGACTTGCAAGATAAGTAAAAATATCTGTGAGGGGTATATTTTAATTCTTTATCCAAGCAATGTACAGGTAAAAACTTCGCGAAATTCATTAAGAAAATTAAACATTTTTTTGTGTGGTAAGAGTAAAAGGGGAAGTGGGAACGTTTAGCCGAGATTGATGTGTTTTTAATCATCGGTGTCTGGCGTTGCCGATGGATTTTTCAGCTCTGATGGAAATGAGTTGGGAAAAATACCCTGCGTACCGGGATCGGTAGAAAATCGCTTTTTTATGGTTAAGACGTAATTTATTACTTGAATGCTTTAAGAGTTTGCTGCTTTGCGTGGATGGGATTAAGGAAATTAATTTCTTTTTTGCCACTGAACGATTCGACCGAACCGAACCCAAAGTATCAGCGTCACACAGAAAAGTAATTATTTGTTTAACGGGAAAAAATTAAAATCAAATTTTCTTCGAGAGTGTGTCTCCGACGGGAGCTCAATAAGTCTACTCTATCTCAAAACGATAGCTTCAGTCAGTGAACTTACGTATCGTCAGTTTTTTTTACAGAATATGTTTAATTTCTCGCTTTTTTTTGTTAACAGGTACACATGTAACAATACATTTCTTCCTTTCCATACAATGAGCCGTATTCATAAAACAAAGGATATCCTTGTACTTGCAAATTTTGAAGGAAATCCTCCAGATGGTATTTATAATAATTTGATGTAAATGCTTTTGCTTTTTGAGTATAAGCATATCCCTTAAAGCAGTGACATACGTAAAAGGATATTCATAATCTTCACCTTATACTTGGCATAGGAAGCATATTCTTCAAAAATTCCGAGTGTGGTCAGGAGCAGACTCAACTTCCTAACGAAAGGTGGTCAAACGATGATGGCGGAAATTGTGGATGTTAGGGATGTTAAAACGTAGAAACCTGGTTTAGAGATTTTTAGTTGAGAATGAGGAAACTCGAGGAGGAGCACTTTCATGTATTCATAAAATGAAAATATGTCTACCTCGGTGACCCTGGATATCAACAAGGTATTGGTCAGGAACTTAGTGTTAGTCAAGGAACGGTATCTCGGACCGTGGATAGAGCTGTGAACAGCATAGTTGCACAGTGGAACGAATGGATCAAGTTTCCAACTACCAACCATGAACTGATGGAAGTCAAGCGGATATGGCAAAGCACGTATAAATTTCCGACAACAATTGGTGTAATTGATTGTACACATATAGGAATCCTGAAAGCAAACCACCATGGAGATGAGTATATCAACCGAAAAGGGAAACCTACTTTAAATGTGCAAGCCACTTGTGATTCCAGAGAGATGTTCACAAGTGTTGATGTCAGTTGGCCTGGATCAGTGCATGATTCCAGAATATGGAGAAATTCACAGACTAGATCACAACTAATAAATAAAGCAAATGTTGCACTACTTGGCGATGACGGTTATGGTATTGAGCCATGCCTTATGATTCCCTTCAGAAATCCTACATCAGCTGCAGAAATAAATTATAATAAGCTTTTAACCCTCCATCAGTCTCGGTGTTAGAAAAAATCTAACAAAATATAATTCACTACAGAGTTCTTATTAAAAATTAGTATTATATCCTTGAGACTCCTGGAATGCCTCATTGGTGTCGCTAGGCAACATCTATGCATAATTCGCGTGCAAATAAAGTAAATAGTCATCTTGAATTTGATAATTTTAGTATATATCTAACGCGCGACCGATCACGTTGTTCAAAAGTGTTAGGAAGAATCTAACGGTGCGACCTATCCCGTATGTGATTTTTTCGATAATCTTGGTAAGTTGAACTGTCACGTAACTAATACAAAAGGATAATTTTAAATATTGCTAAGGGCTCAAAGATCATTTTTTTTTTGTGGCGTTGCTTTGTCAAACTTTTTGATTTTACTGGTGATAAAGAATGATTATGATTTTGATATGTCTGTCATGTTTTCTCATTTTCTATGAATTCCTTGACATAATTTTTATCATATACTTGGTTAGATTTTATTTTGTCTTGTAAATAAATATGCGGCAGGTCAAATTTCGTCAATAATTAGACTTATTATTGGTCTTTCCAGATATGATTTTACCAAGAACAGAAGCCAAATGGCAGCAATGGTACGAAGAAGTTGAATCAGATGTAGTGTCTGAGTTAGACATAAATGACGCTGCCTCTGAACACAGTTTGCATGATACTAATACGGAGCAATCCTCGGACTCAGATGACGAGGATATTTGTTTACCTTTATCTCATCTGCTTTGAAGAAAATACCGCATTTCACTGGAAAGGATGGCCCACCATGGAAAAACTATACCAAGACGCGCATTCATTACATCTTTGGCAAAAGAGCTTATAAGACCACACATGATGAAACGAGCTCCCCTTACAAATATTTCTTTTCCTCTTGGACAAAAAATTCGATCGATTACTGGCATTCAAAAGAAAAATACACCCCCACAGAATCCAGAGCAGAGACCAAGGTGCGGATATTGCCAAACACGGAAAAATAGATTTACACAACATAAGTGTGACCGCTGTCAAACACCTATCTGTAAAGAGCATACCTTATCAACTATTTTTATTTGTAAAGAATGTAATGATGTTGGAAAAGAGAATTAGATTCTTATTTCCTCTGTTTATCATAACACATAAAAGTTAATTCTATAGTTAGATTCTTATTTTCTCTGTTTTTAATACAATATATATATATATATATATAATACCATTTAAAAAATATTGCTTTTATTCCAAAAATATAGAAAATTAACTTTTTAGAAAAAATCTAATTGCGCGCCTTATGTTAGATAACGTCTATACACGCGACCGATGACGTTGTTTGAGGCCGCGCGACCCCTGGAGGGTTAAAACAAGAAAGCGTTATAATCGAACGCTGTTTCGGCCAACTGAAACGACGGTTTCCTGTCCTACAGTATGATTGCCGCGTAAAGTTGGAAAATATGCCGAAAATAATTATTGCTTTGAGTTAGTTGAACAAGACCCAGATGAAGATGAAGGAAATCATGAGAATGACAAACTTCCTCTGGGCGAACTAGGTCAACAAATAAGAAGAAACTTGAGTATTATAATAAATAGTTTTACTGATTAAAGTGTATTTATAATTTATTATAAGTTTTATTTTCGTGAACATCTTAAGTTACAGGTCGCTTCTGACGCTGCATCATTTCTAATTTCGTTTTATAATACTCTTGTAAAATACTTGTTTGGTACTGCTGTAATGGCACTGGACGTTTGGTTTTTGGTTTTTTTTGGTTTCCTCAGTTTCGTATTTCTCTGATGCTAATTTTCTTTTTGGTGACAATGTCTTCTGAATTGCTGGCGCTGAAATACTGTTTGCTCACTGCGCTCGGTGTATAGTTCACTTCCTTCTTCTTAAATACTACCAACCTGAATGACACCTCTAATTTTCCCAATTGTAGGATTACAGTCACCGTAATGTACATAGCTTTCAGCAACTTTCTTTCCCAATCTAACAATTTAATTACTCTATTACCAGTTCTTTTTAGATCTATTTTTTCTTCAATCTTGATTTCATGTTGTTGCTTTTAATAAGCCGTTAGTATCTAATGGTTTACCGAATGTTAATTCGTATTTTTTCAACATCTTCTTCAAGGCATCGTCCTTTCTCATTTTTATTTTTGGAACTTGAGACTTTTGCAAAATGATGGGAGCAATGGCAATTTCATCTGCGATGAACTGCAGGTCGTTGCCATTATTTTCTATAGTTTCCTCATCACTTGAGGATGACATTTTTATTAATTTGATAAAAAACTGTATCCAGTAAAAATACTGAACGGTCTGTGTAAGCTCTGGAGTACAACTGTCAGTGATGCTGAGTGAACGAACTCCCACGTCAACTACAAGCTGGAACAAGTGAGCACATGTCGCTCAAGATACAAATACCAGACAACTTTTTACTTCTTCTTGGAGGACATCCTCGCGAGTATAAGGTAATCATTATGAATATGAAAACAAGGATATGCTTATACTTCTACCTTTTTCTCCGAAGCAAGACCTTATCTTTTACCTTATGCTTCCGAGGATATGCTTCTCTTTTATGAATACGGCTCAATGGTACATTTACGTCTTGTACTTAAAAAATCTCGAAAGAAATGTTATCTTGCAGACTAGGTAATTTTTAGTGTGCAAATAGTTATACAACACGTACAGCTACAAAAGAGTGCACAACAAGTGTACAACAGCTTGTGCTAAGTTAATATCTTGTAGAAAAACCTACGTTATGTCACAAAAAACCTACGAGTTGTCAAAAGAACCGAAAAAATGTCACTTTTCAAGATACTTTATACCCGTGCCCGAGTGAGATATTTTCGGGTGGTAACCCCTTAAAATCATATTTTAAAATTACAATTGCATTTTTTCCACTCCGGTCGAAGTTTTTTATCATCATGAACAAAATGCTCCTTAGTAATTTTTCCCTAAAGATTAGGAGACTTGAAAACTCCGTTAAAACTGTAATTTTTGAGCTTTCCAAGTACTTGAATTGATGTTCGAACCTTCCCTACAATACACCAGAAAGTATTTTGGCCTTAGTTTATTTGAAAGCATTGTTAGTTAATTGTTAATAACGCATCATGGGTATATGTCTCTCTATGGATTATCAGGTAATTCTACTATTTGTCCTTTTCAATTTCGATTCCTCTAACCAATCATTCAGCTACAGCAGTATTTGAGGTTGAGGTTTAGACTGAACTCGACATATACATACTGAGTGACAAAAAAAGGTAAACACCTACGTATCTTTATTAGAATTCAATAATTTTTCAGCAAGAAAATGCCAGACCGCATGTTGCCAGAGAATCGTTAGCCTTCATGGATCAACATCGCATCAACCGTTTACCTTGGCCACCCCGATCACCCGACCTATCTCCAATTGAACATGTCTCTTGATTTTTTTTTTTTATACTCCAACTACCACGAAGGCCTAAGGCCTAAGCACCCATTGGGTACCGTGGGGCTATGGGGGATACATGGGAAAGGGGGGACGCCACACGGACTCTGGCGAGGGAACACGTATACATGCAACATGCACACATTCTGGCCCCGCCTACGATAACCGCCGGGTGGTACCTCCGCGTTCGACAGTCAGAGACCATCTACCACCTACGGACAATCACAACATCCATGGCCAAGAGAAACATTTCTCCTGGGACGGGACTCGAACCCGCACAGCGCACGGCGACTGTCTACTACTGCGGCCACCGCTGCTGCCTAAAACAAACACACAACATCCATGTCGAAGGCGAGATTCGAACTCGCGGCCCGGCCGGCCGGCTGATCAGTAGCACGACACTCTGACCCACGCGGCCAACCGAGGTCCCAAATTTGCAACAACCTCCACATATTTTAGCAGGTCTTACTAATGAAGTTGCAGTAGCCTGGAATGAGATACACACCTTATCAGCATGACGCCCAGGCGTGTCAATGAGTGAATAAGAAATCGTGGATCCTCAACATATTATTGAACCAATTTCTGCTGTCAATTGACGAATCAAGCTTAAAATTTAATCAGTTTACTAGTAAGGGACCCTGAACATATGCATATGCCAAAAATTATTAAAATCGTATAAAAATACGTAGTTGTTTACCTTTCTCTATAATTTATTTATAATCATTAAGTTTCAAATAAGCAATGAACCGATATCGTACTTTTATATTTTAATGTAAAACATTATTTCATTTTGATTGAATAGTTTCATTGTAGAGCCATCGAGGTAAATAATAGGTCTATACTCTCTGTACTTGAAAACACCAGTAAATATAGAATAAAGGGACAGTTTGTATGTATATTTTTTCCTGCCTACAATAGCGTTAAGGAAGTAACGAACTTTTCTGGAAAAAAAATCATATAACGGTACAGATTTCTTTCAAAGATAATGACAGCCTATATGTGTTATACACAATTTTTAAGACTTTCAAGCAGAAAGCAGGAATAGGATCATATGAAAAAATTGCAACCGTTACAAAGCTACTCTAAGAAAATCTGCATACCCAGTGCGATTGTTATTCTAATATGTGGGTAGCTACCTACGTAAAAATCACTTTCCGATTCAAAATAGCAAATAATGAGGTGAGATGTCAATCTCTTCCGGGAAATTGACTTCCTGTTAAGGCCCCTTAGATGCATATATGCAAAAAATGAAAGAAGGACCGTTAAAATCACATAAATTCGCAAGCTTTCCCTATTTTGACTGAAACGTCACAATACGTGCATGTCAGATTTGAATGAAGCCTCTTGACGACCCGATTTACCGGAAGTGAACCGCCCATTGTCCGATGTCGTTGATTTTATCGACAAATCGCATTATTATAATGGTAGGCACCGGTGACTATGATTCAGATTTGTGGATTCTCGGTCACTGAGCTGAATGATTTGAAGATGCGGGTATCCAGTGGTCAAAGGAATGACGCTTTCGTTTCTCAAGATACAGATGTTTGCTGGGTGGGTATGTTTGGCCTATCAAGCATGGTTAAAACTTGCCTTAAAATTAACCAAGACTGAAATACTCTTCGAAGTCTCGTAGGGGACGGTTTGCGCTTTAATTGAGACACTTGGCAGCCTCAAAAATCATAGTTTTTAATCGAGTTTTCGAGCATTAACAATCCTTAGGGTCTTTCAGACATTAAATCGCATAAATGGTCAACTTTATAGAATTGTACCTTTTCTCGAAGGACCTTTTTTGTTCAGAACGATCCAACAGACCTGAAAAAACAAATCTGCTCAAAGTTATCTTTTCATGCATGTTAACGAGCATCCAACAAACGTGATTATGAAAAAAGTCTAGTTGTAAAAACTTTTTATCGCATGATCATCAACGCTCTCATTCAAAATAACGCAGCACTCCTTCAGCAATCGGAATAATTTAGTTATTAAAGTCATAATCAGTACCGTGTAATATGATTTGTAGCCGTAAAAAAATTTTTTTGAATCAAGAGATTGTCGGTCGGTAGTAGTGTTGCCAGGTGTCCCGATTTGCGCGGGACGTCCCGATTTTCAGGAGTCTGGAGACGCGTCCCGATTTGCACCTAATCGGGACGCTAAATGTCCCGATATTTCAATCAGTTCGTTGAAAACGATCATTACCAAAATACACTAATCACGCATCACATCCCTATGTCTAGTACGAGAACGCGCTCAAAATAGCATGCATATCATATCACTAGTGCTATACACAAAACATGCTCTATAAGGCGCGATATCGCCTGCATGTCAAGGAGATCTTACG